ATACTTGGAGCTCAATCTAACCCCACCAATCTAACACAAGACAGAATGAGCAATTAAATCAAGCAATAACAAGGAGAGCATCCCCTTTGACAAGCAAGCCCCCCCAGCCCCAACATAGTGTAACAAGCAGAGCTAGAAGCACCCAAACCACTAAACAAGCTATGCAACAAGTCAAGAGGGAATTTGTCTTTGAAGAATTGGGTCAAATAATTTACTAGAGATGAGTCGTAGCATCGTCAACAATCTTCCCAGCTGCAACGACAACCTTTTTGGTTAAGAAGGCCGGGACCGGGAGGGAGGTCGGTGGCGGTGACGTGAAGAAGGAGGATCCAGCGTAACGTCGTTCTGTGATTTTCCCACCGGTGAACGGGATATGGCTTCGGCGCTGCCCTTCTCCTTCTTACTGTTTTTCTGCAACAACGGCCGGCCGTTCGAGCTGGCAACGCCTTTGCTTCCATTCTTTTGCTTCCACAAGCGAGGCGACGTAGAAATGGAACTTTCCTTGGATTTTGCCGCCACAAAACTGCTATTACTTCCCTGATAATTAAGCCTACGGTCATGCGGATGATGAGAAACCTCAACGCTCGTCATTGGAGAAATTCGAATTTTCCAGAGAAAAGCAAGCAAGGATTTAGGCGATCTGATTATGAGAAAAGAGACTTTTGCATGCAAGTGGATAGATAGAGTGCATGGGAAAATCTGAGAAATGAAATGAAGGCCTGAGATTTTATAGAAAATAAGCGCGTGTTTAACGCATTAGAATACCTATTCCCAAATCCATTTGTATTAGATAATCCAAATCTATCAAGAATGTATTTTTTTATTAGACAAAAATACCTCTACATATCTTTATAAATAATCTCTTTTAAATATGTAAATTGTGAACATTCCGTATATAAATTATGTATTTTGACTTGGGTCCATCTTGCAAGGTGGACCCGGGTCCATGATATAACTGTTGAACACTAATACCATACCCATGAGAACATATGAGCCAATTGGGGCAAATAATTAGTGGGTTGTGAAATTTCTAAAAAGCCTTGTCTTAAATGATTGTTAAAAGGAAATTTCACGAGAGGACTAAATTGGCTATGCTTGAAGTAATTGAAAGATTAAATTTTTCAAAATTATATCGTGGACCAAGACCTTCAGCTAACAATATTATATATTTTCAGTTAACCATTGAAGAAAATGAGAGTTGGACAGAGTAGTACATCCGTTATATCGTAGACCATGGTCCAAAAATAGCATCGTTTCTTTAAGTAAAGAAACGGTGTCGTTACATATTAACGGAGCCCTATTTTTTGTGTGTTAATTACAAAATGAAACTACAGTGTATCTAAAATTAAACTGTCTCACATATTATTTTTATATTATCAAATGAAAATGTAATTGAATTGAAATAACTGTAGTTGTGTTGAAATGAAACTGCAGTGTATATAAAATGAAACACATTTTCACATATTTGAGTGTATATTGTCTAATAAAACTGTAGTTATATCGAAATGATATTGTAGTTGTGTTGTAATGAAACTATAGTGTATATAAAATGAAACTGAATACAAGTTTCACATATTTGAGTGTGTAATGTCGAATGGAACTGTAGTTATATCAAAATGAAATTGTAGTTGTGTTGAAAAGAAACTGTAGTGTATATAAAATGAAACTGAATATGTCATACAAACAGAGCTACTTTATGCAGAACGGCGCGGAACGAGTGTCGTTTCTTTTCATTAAAAGAAATGGCGCCGTTTTGAACCATGGTCCACAATGCTTTGCGAACCGCGGTCCACAGTATAATTTGCCCAGAGTAATATAGATAATTGGAGTAAACAACCTAACATTCAAAATTTAAGATTCTAAGGTAGGTTTTTTACACTTTATATTATATGAAAAAAATTACAAACTAACATAATTTTTTAAACGAGTTAATTACCGAAATGGTCCCTTGACTATAGCAAAATTACCAATTTGGTCCTTGACTATTTTTTTGACCAATTAAGTCCCTCAACTTTAAAAATCTTAACCAATTTGGTCCTCCGTTTGTTTGACCGTTAGTCAACCGTTAACTTGGGACCAAATTGGTAATTTGCTATAGTCAAGAGATCATTTTGGTAATTAAATTTAAGGGTGGGCAATTCGGTTTAGTTTTCTTGAACCGAACCGTAACAGAAACGATTACAAAGTATTGAAGGATAATTAACGAAAGACTCTCCTGTCTAATAGAGAATCCTAAGTCAATTAAACCTGAGCCACATAATATAACTATATACTATAGAAAATAATAACACTCACTAACACACCCCCTCAAGCTCAAGGGTGGTGTGAAACAACATTGAGCTTGTCTCGAAGAAGCGTGAACCTGGGCCCTGTGAGCGGCTTGGTGACGATGTCTGCGAGCTGATCTCTGGTCGAAACATAGTTAACTATGAAGTCTCCTGAGGCGACCTTAGCTTGTCACGGACGAAATGGTAGTCAATCTCAACATGTTTCGTCCGGGCATGAAAAACCGGATTTGCGCATAGATAAGTAGCGCCAAGATTGTCGCACCAGAGAGTGGCTGGATGAGAGGAGTGTAGTCCGAGTTCCCGGAGTAAAGAGACCACCCAAGTAACTTCTGCAGAGACATCGGCTAGAGCTTTATACTCTGCTTCTGTGGACGATCGCACTACTGTTCGTTGTTTCCTGGAGAGCCATGAAATCAGGTTGGTACCAAGAAAAACAGCATACCCGCTTGTGCTCTTCCTGTCGATCGGGCAACCAGCCCAGTCTGAGTCTGAGAAAGCCTGGATAGTCGTGGACGTGGAATGAGCTATACGTAACCCGTAGCTGATAGTACCCTTGATGTAGCGCAACACTCATTTGGCTAAACTCCAGTGTTCATCTGTCGAAGTATGCATAAACTGGCATAGACGGTTGACTGAATAAGATAAGTCTGGCCTTGTGATCGTCAAATACTGTAGAGCCCCTACAATGCGCCTGTACTGCGTCGGATTTTCATGCGGGGTCGATGTAGGAACCGCCGGTGAGGAAACAGCGGCAGGTGTAGTAAGGGGTTTACAATCAAGCATCCCGGCGCGGTTGAGAAGATCTGTCATATACCGCCTCTGAGACAAAATTAAACCGCCTTCAGCCGAAATGGTCTCAATCCCTAAGAAGAATCCCGACTTTCCTAGATCACGAATTTTAAAAGTGGTGGCAAGCTTTTGCAACAAGGTGTTAATGAGCACAGCATCATTCCCCATCATGATGATGTCGTCTACATAAACAAGTAGAAACACCCGTGATGAGCCTGTCGTGTAGTGGAAGAGCGAGACATCAGTTTTGGATGACTGAAACCCTGCAAGAATTAAGAAGTCGTGAAGCCTCTTAAACCAGGCCCGTGGGGCCTGTTTTAATCCATAAAGAGAGCGCTGCAAGTGGCAGACGTGATCCGGATGCGTCGGATCTTCATAGCCAGGCGGCTGCTTCATATAAACAGTCTCGGCTAGGTGTCCATTTAGAAAAGCATTATGGACATCTAACTGACGCATCGTCCAGTTAGAAGAGATAGCAAGAGAGAACAGGAGCCGGACAGTAGTCGGTTTGACTACAGGACTGTAAGTGTCAAAAAAATCCTCGCCTGCAACCTGGTTGAAGCCCTTGGCTACCAGACGGGCTTTGTAGCGCTCGACTGAGCCATCAGCGGTGCGCTTGGTGCGGAACACCCACTTGCAGCCGATAACATTCATGTGGGGTTCAGGAGCAACCAGTCGCCAAGTGTTGTTGTGAAGGAACGCATTAAACTCCTGATCCATGGCTTCACGTCATTGTGGATGCCCTATAGCCTGGGAATAACAAGTTGGATCAGTAGTGATATGTAGAGCCTGAAATTGCTCATCTGAGCCCCTCGTCTGATGACGGAGCTGCATAACATGCCCTCGATCTTGAGGTTCGGTTCGCCGTCGCTTAGCCCTGACACGGGGTGGTCGGGTAATGGCTAAGGGAGCGGGCTCCTGAGCTAGCGGCACTGGTTCAGACTCTGAGGTCTCCGGAGTGCTGCTGGATTGTGGGACCATCGGGGCAAGTCGTGGGACTATAGGCCCGGATGCCTATGGTGGTGCATCTTGCGGTGTAGACGGGGCGGGTATTTCCGTGGCAAACGGGAATACTGTCTCGTCGAACCGGACATGACGACAGATATAAACTTTCCCAGACGACCGATCCATGCATCTATATCCCCTAAAGGATGGGGGGTAACCTAAGAAGACACAGGGTGCAGAGCGGTATTCTATCTTGTGGCGATTATAAGGCCGTAGATAAGGATAACACCGGCACCCAAATATTCGAAGAAACGTGTATGGAGGAGACACTTTGTATAGACGTGAGTAGGGACTTTCAAAGTTTAACACCGGAGTTGGGAGATAGTTTATGAGACATGTTGCAGTCTCGAAGGCAAAATCCCAATATTCCATCGGTACCGATCCTTCGGCGAGTAAAGCAAGACCCGTTTCGGCGATGTGTCTGTTACGGCGCTCTACTCGTCCATTTTGCTCATGTGTGTAAGCACATGATTGTCGGTGATTAATGCCTAGGGTTTGAAACATTTTGTGTAGTTTTTGATACTCACCCCCTAGATCGGATTGTATACTTTTGATAGAGCGCGAGAATTGTCGCTCTACCAGCACACGGAACAACTCAAAACTTTTATAAACTTCTGATTTTACCCGTAACGGATAAAACCAGTAGAATCGGGAGTAATCGTCTACAAACAATAAGAAATAGCGAAAACCAGTACTAGAGACTACTGGAGCCGGGCCCCATACATCAGTAAAGATCAAATCTAAGACATTTGTACTGGAATTATGAACCCTATCTAATTTAAAACGCGACGACTTGCCGAGGTGACAAGCTGTGCAAGATTGCAACGACTTTTGTTTATTTGGTGACACTGGACAGTTCTTGAGAATATGACTCTGAACGACACCGTGCGGATGACCTAGCCTGCGGTGCCAAACATCTTAAGTGGCCCGGGAACTGACGAACGCAAATTGAGTATGGGAAAGTGGAAGCTTGTACAATCCCCCGGAGGTTGGCCCTTTAAGCAGAGTTGCCCTGGTTTTGGAATCCTTCACAATAAAACAGTTGTTATGAAATTCAAAGTAAACGCTGTTTTCTTTAGTGAATTTATTTACAGAAAGTAACGGGACAGACAGACTCGGGACATGCAATACATTAGACAAATTTAGGGGTTTTGACACGGACGGGATCGATGCATGACCGACGCGTGAGATAGCCAAACCTGCGCCGTTCCCGACTCGTAGGACATCGGGGCCGGTATATTCATCGGAGCGGGACATCATGCTAGCATCCGGCGTGGCGTGGGCGGTGGCGCCGGTGTCGGGGTACCACCCGTCCGATGAGGTTGCCGACGGCGTCATAGGGAGCTCGCCGGTGGCAGTGGCGACATGTGCTTCAGCCGGAGGTTGCATCGTATATCGCTTAAAGCAATAAACCGCCGTGTGTCCTTGAGCGCGACAAATTTGACATCTCGGAGGACCGCAGCCATTCTGACCGCCTCTGCCCCGTCCATTGCGGCTGTTACTGTTCCGGCCTCCTCTCCAGTGCTGCCCACTGCCGGACTGCCGACCACCGTCATTGTTGGAACCCCGTCCTCGGCCAGCGTACATCGCCGTATGCTGCCCGCCATTGTCGCCAACGGAGTATTCATCGGAGATTATGAACTCCTGGGCACTCAGGAAATCTGCCAGCTGCGGCAGAGACACAGTGTTGGTGGTAGCGGTTAAGGATGCCGCCATGACGCGCAGATCCTGTCTCAGGCCTCTCAGAACGTACAGCATCTGCTCCGATGAAGAAAGAGGACGACCGGCTTGAGCTAACGCCTCCACGAGCACCTCTGCCCGCCCCAAGTACTCGGCGGTGGAGAGATTCCCTTGCCTTAGCGACTGGAATTGGCCGAGTAGACTAAGGCACCTTGCTTGCGTGGAGGAGCCGAGCGCCGTGACGATTGACGACCACACCTCGGCTGCAGTTTCTCGTCCGACGACCAAGTGTAACACCTCGTCGGACATGGACGAAATGAGCATCGATAAAATCGATTGGTCTTGGAGCACCCAAGCCTTGTGCGCTGGGTTCGGAACCATCCATGTCGCCGGCATTGTGCCTGAGCCGGAATCCGAGGCTGCTGCGACTGTCGCCGGTGGACATGGCGTTGAGCTATCCACATATCCCAGCAGGTCCTGCCCCCTCAAGAAAGGGACCAACTGAGTCCTCCAGAAGAGGAAGTTGCGGCTATTAAGCTTCATGGAAACATGGTGATGGGCGCCGGCCAATGGATTGGCGGTCGCCGATGAGGGAGAGCCGCCGGCGGAGACGGTTCGTTCCGATGACTGCGACATGGTTTCGATGTTTGTTTTCCGGTGGAGTTTGTTTAGGTAAGGTAGAGAGAAACATGGTGATCGTAACCTATCTACTGATACCAGATTAGAATTCAAATTCCATTCATTAATTGTAACAGAAACGATTACAAAGTATTGAAAGATAATTAACGAAAGACTCTCCTGTCTAATAGAGAATCCTAAGTCAATTAAACCTGAGCCACATAATATAACTATATACTATAGAAAATAATAACACTCACTAACAAGGACCAAATTGATAATTTCACTATAGTCAAGGGACCATTTTGGTAATTAACTCTAAAAGTATGGTTTGTTTGGTTCCTCAATATAATCCTCGATTTCCTATATTGTTATGTTTAAAGAGTTACAATTCTTCTATTATGTCATTGACTCCATTATATAAAAAAAATTTATATATTCGTGTAGCAACTTCTTGAATATTTATGTATTTATAATTTGTATATGCATATATACTTTTATTATGTATATTAATTATGGTTGAAAAGATCACTAGGGGCTCCTCGGACACCTAGGCGGGCTGCCTAGGCACTAGGGTAATCGATGCCTAGACGTCGTGTATTTTTTTATTTTATTTTTTATTTTATTTTTTATTTTATTTTTTAAAAAAATTTTTGTTAAGATTTTATTATTATAAACTAGTTAATACTTTAATAATTAATACTAAAATATTAAATATTAACCTAAAAATAACTCATTTAAACAAAAAAAAAAAATATAAAAATCAATAGCTAGCCGGCCGACTATGTGTCCTAGTCGGCGCCTAGGTAACCTAGGTGATCAGTGCTTAAAGGGCCTAGTCGGCCACCTAGACCACTGATTATAGTGATACGTTAGGCGGTCGGTCGGCGCCTAGGCGCGATTTTTACAACATTGATATTAATTACTATATTTTATTCATAATTTAATTTAAATTTTCTAGTTAGTTTGACCCGGTCCAAGTTCCATTATTTTTTGAAGGGGGAACAGGCAAATTATGTCGTGGAACCATGTCCACCTTACAAGGTGGACACGATTTCAAAACTGTCATAATTGTGAATATAGAATTCAAAAATTATGAACATAGAGTTCTATAATTATG